GCGGAATCAGGTTATAGCCAAAGCAAGGGAGGAGGCACAGCGGAGACATGAAAGGGATCCACAAAACCTCCCTGAGCCTGCAGACATGGTTTCCCTAGCAGATCCTAGGTGGAATCCTAATGACCTCTTGCAGTACACCTGTCTCACCTCATACAAGGAGTTGCTTTTACATCGTCTCCAGCACTCGGCTGTCCGACATAACAACTGGGCAAAACCATATGAGTTAATACAGGAACCAAAGGAAAGTCCAATTGCCTTTCTGCAGCGGATTCGGGATGCCATCCGGCAAAATACTAACACAAATCCCGATGACCAGGCAACTGAGGCAATTATAAAGGGGATCTTTACCAGCTGTGCAGCCCCTGATATTAAAAGGAAATTACAGAAAAAGGAGGACTTAATGGGCATCTCCATAGCACAGATTCTGGAAACTGCAAATAGGGCTTATTCCCTGAGAGAGGGGGAGAAGGAAAAGAAGCAAGTGAAATGATGGTAGCTGCAGTACAGGCTGGTGCTAGGGGAAGGTTATAGGAATGAGAAACGTTTTCTTTGGAAAGACGAAGCAAGTGATTTGAGGGTTTGTGAAAGTGGAAAATAGACTCTGTAGAATGTAGAAAGATTTAAGCGATTGTTGTAATATATGAAGAGAAACCTGCTTTAAAAAGTGACCTTGCTAACCTGTCCCTCCCTTAACCCGGCCACTCTTTTACCGGAGACAGAGTAGCAGGAGCACGACTGCTTGGAGATAATAGATGCCCAATACTCCAGCCGTCCAGACTTAAAGGATCAACCGCTCCTTAATGCGGATTGTGAGTGGTACACTGATGGTAGTAGTGTTGTGGTAGCCCGCCCTCCTTTTGCCCGTCTACGCTGTTGTGACCCTCCACGATACCGTGGAAGCCAAGGGTTTGCCTGCTGGGACATCTGCCCAGCTTGCTGAACTGGTAGCCCTGACGAGTGCGCTCGAACTGTCAGAGGGAAAACGGGTCAACATCTTTACCGACTCCAGATATGCTTTTGGAGTACTACATGCTCATGCTGGTCTGTGGAAACAGAGGGGCATGCTGACAGGGAAAGACGAAGCAAGTGATTTGAGGGTTTGTGAAAGTGGAAAATAGACTCTGTAGAATGTAGAAAGATTTAAGCGATTGTTGTAATATATGAAGAGAAACCTGCTTTAAAAAGTGACCTTGCTAACCTGTCCCTCCCTTAACCCGGCCACTCTTTTACCGGAGACAGAGTAGCAGGAGCACGACTGCTTGGAGATAATAGATGCCCAATACTCCAGCCGTCCAGACTTAAAGGATCAACCGCTCCTTAATGCGGATTGTGAGTGGTACACTGATGGTAGTAGTGTTGTGGTAGCCCGCCCTCCTTTTGCCCGTCTACGCTGTTGTGACCCTCCACGATACCGTGGAAGCCAAGGGTTTGCCTGCTGGGACATCTGCCCAGCTTGCTGAACTGGTAGCCCTGACGAGTGCGCTCGAACTGTCAGAGGGAAAACGGGTCAACATCTTTACCGACTCCAGATATGCTTTTGGAGTACTACATGCTCATGCTGGTCTGTGGAAACAGAGGGGCATGCTGACAGCCCAAGGCTGCCCGGTCAAGCATGGGGCCCACATTCTTCGGCTCCTGGAAGCAGTGCAACTCCCCTCGGCAGTGGCGGTGGTACACTGCAAGGCTCATCAGAGGGACGACCAAGACGTGGCAAAGGGAAATGCCCGGGCAGACAGGGAAGCCAAGCGTGCTGCCACCCTGCAACCACTGGAAGCAGAGAACTCCTATATGCAGGCCCTCATCCCATCCGTGGGGGAGCTCCCAACCCGTCAGTACTCACCTGAAGAAAGAAACCTGGCCACCAAGCTCAGGCTCCGGGAAAAGGAGGGATGGCTCCACTCCACAGAAGGAAAGATCCTTCTATCGAAGGACCTAATCCGACCAGTGCTGCAGAGACTACATCAAACCACTCACGCCGGCAAAGAGGCTGATCCTCCTACCGAAGGACCTAATCCAACCAGTGCTGCAGAGACTACATCAAACCACTCACGCCGGCAAAGAGGCTCTAACCCAGCTTATGAATAAATACTTCTTAACCTCTAGACTTTGGCCCCTAGCATCTCAGATACAGGCCAACTGTATGGTCTGTCAAAAGAACAACCCTCGACCAGGATTTTCAGTACCACCAGCTACTCTGGAACCCACCCCAGGCCCGGGATTGGTTTGGCAGATAGATTTCACTGAGCTCCCATGGACTCAAGGGTTCAAATACCTCCTCGTCCTGGTAGATCGATTTAGCGGGTGGCCTGAAGCCTTCCCGTGCTGTAACTGTACAGCCAAGACTGTGGCTCTCAAGTTTGTCAAGGAACTCATCTCCCGCTTCGGGCTGTCCCAGTGGATGGAATCTGACAACGGAACCCATTTTACATCCAAGGTTGTCCACCACATACAGCTGCCCTACAAATCCTGTGGAAGCTCCACACGCCATGATGACTGCAGGCCAGTGGAGCGGTGGAACGCACAAATCAGACCCTTAAGCATCACCTCTCGAAAATCTGTCAAGAAGCCTCCCTATGGTGGCCTGATGCTTTGCCCATTGTTTTGCTCCGCATCCGCGCTCTCCCAAAGGGTAGATTAGGGCTTAGCCCCTTCGAAATTATGTTTGGAAGGGCATGGCCTATGAATGGGACACCGGCTCTGGCAGGGGAGTGGGAACTGGGATGCGGCTTTTTATCTCAGTATATGTGCTCTCTGTCTGCTGCTCTCTCTTCTCTTCACAGGTACACCAAAGACTCACAGCCTCTTCCGCTGGATGCCCCTGTCCACTGCTCACAGCCGGGAGACTCCGTGCTCGTTCATACTTGGAAGGACGAGCCTCTCTGGGAGAAGTGGAAGGGACCCCACACCGTCCTGCTGGTTTCCCACACAGCAGCAAAGGTTGAGGGACACAAAAACTGGATTCATCAGTCGCGTCTGAAAGCAGTGCCCACACTGCCGCCAGCAGAACAGTGGACCATCCAGCCCGCCAGAGCATCATCCACTGACACTCTGGGACTTAAGTTGTTGTTTAAAAAGCGCTGAAGGGTTGGGGGTTCTGTTGGGAACATAGCTGCCCTGTCCAGTAGACTCACCATGGGTTCTAATGCAGAGTTTGCCCTACTAATACTTTTGGCCACAGGTGCCAGTCTCTTGTTGTCTCCTGTGTTGCTCTCCACGCATACAGGATGGAGAAAGGCCTCTGCAAACTTAGCTACTAACACATATGAAGCGCACTTAATCAGCTTTTGTCCTCAGAATATGAGAAAACTCAGACGAAAGTGTGTTGAGTATTCTCAAAGGAGGGAGCTGTTGGGGTCACTGGGCATGATCCTAGGTAACTCGGAGGAGTGGAAGATCACAAGAATCGATGAAGCCCCCCTGCTCTAGGCCCAAGCACCCTAAAAGCACCCCCCCTTCCGCCACTTTCCCCCTCCCAGGCATAACTTTTCTCTGGCTCACTAATAGCTGGGAACAGCAAGACAGACCTTGAGGTTGCCTAGTTACTATCAGTGGTATAGAAGAAGAATTCAGATATGTCTCTGTAGAGGGGAGGAGGAGGATAGGGCTGGCAACATGTCCCAGCGTGGGAATCTTGCTACAGTTCACTATGTTCCTGCAAGTAAACAACCTGGGTATATAAGGAGGGGAAACTGCTTACGTTGGTGTGCTTGATCTGAGATGTCTAGTCTCCTGGCACCTATCTGAGCGTTCAAATAAACTTTTTTTGCTTCTCCACACCGGTGTGTTTATTGACTGAGCCATGAACCCAGCTGTTGCCCTCCTCGGGCACTGGCTGGCAGCAGGTTGATCTGACAATTTCCTCTCAATAAGATTAATGTAAAGCTTTATTCCCTCACGTTGTAATGAATGTGAATGCTTGTGAATAAGTTATTCTGTCATTAGGGTCCTTACTTCTCAAAAAGGGAACATTCCTTAGAATTACCATGCAAGAGTTAGTACAGAGACAGCTATTAACTAGTTTATGTCCATGATAATTATTTTATATGCATTCATAATTTGAAGCTGCAGTCGTGGCTCCACTGAAGGGAGCAACCCCGCCACCTCACGTTCCGAAGCCACGCCTCCGCCACACCCTATAGCGTGCGCGCCTGCCCACCCTTCCCATAGAACTACACCTCCCAGCACGCCCCGCGCTTGGCTAAGTCATAATGCAGCAGCTGAGTGGTAGACCGCTTAGTGAAACGGACCAATCACTGCCCCGGATGCTGCTCGGCGGCTCCTCCTGTTGTGGTGAAGTGGGAGACTTTGAAAAAGTTGTCAGGTCAGGGCGCGCGGCGGTGCTGGCGGGAGGGGGTTGCAGCCAACCGCAGGGTGGGGCCGGGGGAACCTGGCTGGGCGCGAGAAGGCAGCGCTACGCCGCCCGGGGAGGGGCAGCCCCGCGCTGTGCCCCGGGGAAGGGAGGCCGGGGCAGAAGGCGCTTCCCCCTCCCTTGGGGGCGCTGGGGTGTGTGTGGAGGGGCTCGCTCACTCCGCCTTCTGGGGTAGGTGGGGCAGGCTCATACCCTCTGCTCCCGGGTGGGGGTCCCAAGGCAGCGGGAACAGCGGGCTCCACACCACGACCCTGCCTACAGTGGCACCGGGGGACCCGTGATTCAGTGCTACGCCGCTGGCGTAACCTGCCTTTAGACTGAGGCCAGGCACACGCCACAGCTCAGGTGGCTGCCAGTTGTGTCACTCGGGGATGTGAGTGAGCGCACCCTCCCCCCCAAGCATGACCTAAGCGCCAGGGTGTGGACAGTGCTATGTCCGCGGGAGAAACAGCTACCGCCGCTTGCTGGGCCTAGCTCAGTCCCGTTGCCTTGGAGCGTCTGGTCTCCCTAAGCGCTGTCGTGTAGCCATGGCCGCAGGTTTTGGTTTAAAAGGGTTAAATAATGGGGGGGGGAGGGAGGCAGGGAGAGGGGAATGCATGTAGTTGGCATGATTAACCAACAAGCCTAGGCTTATCAGTTAATCATAGGGCTAGAAGGGACCTCAGGAGGTCATCAAGTCCAGCCTCCTGCCCAAAGCAAGGACCCATCCCAACTAAATCATCCCAGCCAGGGTTTTGTCAAGCTGGGACTTAGAATCTCCATCCCTAGAGGTTTTTATCACCTCCCTAGGTAACCCATTCCAGTACTTCACCACCCTCCTAGTGAAATAGTTTTTCCTAATATCCAGTCTAGACCTCCCCCACTGTAACTTGAGACCATTGCTCCTTGTTCTGCCACCCTTCACTACTGAGAACAGCCTCTCTCCATCCTCTGTGGACCCTTCCTTCAGGAAGTTGAAGGCTGCTATCAAATCCCCCCTCACTCTTCTCTTCTGTAGACTAAATAAGCCCAAATCCCTCAGCCTCTCCTTATAGGTCAAGTGCTCCAACCCCCTAATCTTTTTGGTCGCCCTCTGCTGGACCCTCTACAGTGCGTCTACATCCTTTCTATAGTGGGGGGGCCCAGAATTAGACGCAGTATTCCAGATGCGGCCTCACTATTGTCGAATAAAGGGGAATAATCACTTTTTTAGATCTGCTGGCAATGATCCTCCTTATGCACCCTAATATGCCATTAGCCTTCTTGTGTACAAGGACACCCTGTTAACTCATATCCAGCTTCTCATCTACTGGAATCCATAGGTCCTTTTCTGCTGAACTGCTTCCTAGCCAGTTAGTCCCCCAGCCTGTAACAATGCTTTGGATTCTTCCATCCCAAGTGCAGGACTCTGCACTTGTCCTTGTTGAACCACATCAGATTTCTTTTGGCCCAATCCTCTAATCTGTCTAGGTCACTCTGGACCCTATCTCTATCCTCCAACGTATCTTCCTCTCCCCCTAGCTTGGTGTCATCTGCAACTTGCTGAGGGTGCAAGCCTGGGGGAGGGGAGAGGTGGCTCCGTGGGAGTTGGCTCTCTGTGGCTGCATCTAGACTGGCATGATTTTGCGGAAATACTTTTAACGGAAAACCTTTTCCGTTAAAAGTATTTCCGTAAAAGAGCGTCTAGATTGGCACGGATGCTTTTGGGCAAAAAGTGGCAAAAGCATCCGTGCCAATCTAGATGCGCTTTTGTGCAAGAAAGCTCCGATGGCCATTTTAGTCATCGGGCTTTCTTGCGCAAAAAATTAAGATGCCTGTCTACACTGGCCCTCTTGCGGAAGTATTCTTGCGCAAGAGGGCTTATCCCTGAGCGGGAGCGTCAAAGTATTTGCGCAAGAACCACTGAATTCTTACATTAGAACGTCAGTGCTCTTGCGCAAATTCAAGCGGCCAGTCTAGACGCACCCTGTGTGAATTAGCTCCTGACTGCCCCTCCCCACCTGCCTCTGTATAAGAGGCATGGGGGCGAACGGTTCTGTGGGAGCCATTTCTCCACATGCACTGGCTCCCACTCCCCTTGTCTCTGATACAGTGGTAGCTGGGGAGGCGGAGTCTGCGTGTAACTTGTTAGGATTAACTGATGAGCCCAGGCTCATCTGTTAATTGGGAATATGGCTACATGTTCACATCCCTAAATATTTTTTTTTCTCTTCCTGAGACAGCAGAGTAACAGAAGATCTGATCCAACATGTAGGTTTTTCAAGAGACAGTATGTGAGAAAAATGAGTCAGTTGCTAATCTAAAGATGGGGCTGATTGTTTAGATGTTATATTAAAATGAAAAGTTACTCATTTGTTTTTTTTTCACGACTGTCTTTTTAATCACCTGCAAATCCTATTTTACAACCAACCTTCTCTTAATCTCTTAATCAGACACTTACAGCCTTCTTTGTAGTACTCAGAACATGTAAAGAAGTATATAACTCCTTTGTGGTTGCTGGAGGAATTTAGTTCTTCAATAACACTTTGATGCAGCCAAATGACAAAGATGTATGTTGTGACCTCTGAGACTCTATAGAGAAATATATAACAATGAACTCCATTGATAATTTCTGCACTTCGTGAGTATTCACACAACACTAACATAACCCCAAGACTTGTCCCACCAGGCACCAAGCTCATTATGATACCTGAGAAACTTTCAGAAGAACCAGTCTCTTTTAAGTTCTCCTTACAAATCCACAGGGAATATCCCCAGGATATTATGTGTGAAAGAACAAAATGATTCAATATATGTATAGCTAGGAAGACAAATGTGTATAGATGCTTTAGTCAATCTGTTACATCTGCTTTTCAGTTGCCAGTTGTGGTAGTATCTTTTATGCCCTGGTTGAGAGATAAGAAGAACATTTGTACATTTGTAATATCCCAGCTAATTATTAGATTTAAAAGCCAGATGGTACCATTGTTGTCTTCAAGTCTGAGGTAAATAATGCTGGGCATAAAACTTACTCGAATGTGTGTTTTGAGTACAATAGCTGTAGCTGAACTAGACGATGTATTTAAGAAAAACAGCTGATTTGGATTTAAAAATTGTAGGCAGTAAAGACTCCATCACAGCCCTTGGAAAGAAATTCTAAAAGTTAATTAAACTCACAGTTAAAAACATTTACCTTATTTCTAGCCTGAATTTCTTTAATTTCAACTTTCAGCTGTTGGATGATATAATCTTTGCCTGCAAGATTAAAGAGCCCTCTGTTATCAATTTTCTGTTCCTTGTATTGGCTCATATAGACTGATCAAGTCACTCCTTAACTTTCTTTGTGATAAACAAAATAAATCAAGCTCCTTAAATCTCACTGAGGCATGTTTTCCAAACCTTTAATCATTCTTGTGACTCTTTTCTGACCTCTCAACCCGCTTGAATAGGGAACATACTATTCCTGTAGTGGTTGCAGTAGTGCCGGATACTCCCTACTTCTACTTGATATTCCCCTACTTAAATGTCCAAGGATTGCATTAGTTCTTTTACTCACAGTATTGCATTGGGGGCTAATGTTCACATCATTATTTTTTTATGAGAAGGCTGGGTAAAATACGGCCCGGGGGCTGGTTCCAGCTCACGGACGCAGTGTGGAACAACAGGCAGACTCCCTGCTTGCCCCACGCCCCCTCCCATGCTGCTCAAAAAAGCGGCTGCCGCAGCCATTTCTCTTTCTCAGCTGTGAGCCCAGAGGATGGGGGAAGTTATGCTTCACATGTGCTCCTGCCCCCAGCACGTGTGGGTGGGTGTTGTCATTGTATTGGTATTACAGATAGCTTTTCTAGATTTGTTTTGCTGTCCAGTGATTGTTTTTCTGTTCACCAGATGTGGGAGCATGGCCACTAAGAAATTAAGAAGAGCAGGGTTATCTCAGGAACTTTGTGACAGGCTGAGTCGGCATCAGATCACTACCTGTCGGGTAAGAATTTCACTTAAGAGATATAGAGATTTATTTTATGCTGAGTTACGTGGCACTTTGAAACATGCATGGTTTGTTTCCTAATAAAGGTATAGTTTTGAATGTGTGCGGAAATATGGCTTCCAAATAAGATCATACTTTACCTTTATATAGACTATGAAACCTTTCATCCCAAAGAATCCTAAAGTAATGTAGAGATCACTTTGCTTGCCAATCAAATTAAGCTGCCATTTGGGTGGAGTAAAAGAATTATTTAACCATACGCAGCAATACAATACAACACAACACGAAGAGAAGTTGGTCATATTAAACTGAAACTAATGGAGTTTTCTCATTCTCTTCTCTTCAGATCAGAATTGTTAATCTAGTGTTCTGTGACTTTGTCTGATACGGGGTGATTCAGGGCTCAACCCTGCAAATTAATACGTATATGAATAGATGCCTAAGTAGAGCCAGAATGTCTATGTAGTGGCTGCAGTCCTCTATGGATTCTCTTGTAGGATCTGGCCTTAAGTCTAATAATTAGAAGACGAGACATCATTTGAGGTGGTCTGTGATCATATCCAGTTAAAGACAGGCTTGTGAGGAAGATAATATTATTATTTTATCCCACTCCAATTAGGGATGTGAAAGACCAGTTGAATATCCAGTAAGCAAAAACGGATCCTGGCTCCACATGGTGCTGCCACTTTGAAACGCTGTGGAGAGTCCCACATGGTGTTTCAAAGCAGCAGCACCGCATGGAGCCCGGGGTCAGCTGGGGAATCTCCAGCTGGCCCCCAGCTCTACGCAGTGCTGCCACTTTGAAATGCCATGGGGAGCAAGGGGTCAGTGGGTGACTCAATCAATCCCCCCACTGGCCCAGTGGTCTCTATATCACTTTCGCCTTTCAAGTGTAGCATCGATTATTCAGTTAGGGAAGTTAAATTTAGATTAATAGGCTAACTCCAATATGACAAAAATATATTAAAAAAAACTTTTTTAAAAGACAGTCTTTCTAAAAGCACACCAAAAGAGTAAAAATAAAGTTTTCAGCTACCAATGTTGGAGAAAGATTGGATGGCTAAGTACGATTCAAGATAGTTGCTAATTGTTAGCTATCCAATCTTTCTCCTAAATTGGTAGCTGAAAACTTTATTTTTACTCTTTTGGTGTGCTTTTAGAAAGACTGTCTTTTAAAAAAGTTTGTTTTTATATATTTTTTTGTCTTTTTGGTCTTTCCCCTCCACACAAACTGTAGAATTGCTACCCCGCAACACACACATACTCTGGGGATGCTGCCTTCCCCCCCAGCTCTGGGGCTGATGCCCCCCGGGCTCAGGGGCTGCTTCCCTCCCCCCAATTCTAGCGCTGCTGCCAAGGGGCCTAGAGATGCATGGTGTGGCCTGAAGACAGGCGGGCTGCTTGCAGAAGCTGATGGTGACGGCCTGCCAGGGGAGTTGGGAGCCATGCGGCACAGCCCGGAGGCAGGCGGGCCACCCCTATTACCCGGCGGGGGTAGACCCGCCGGCGGG